TTTCTTGTCTTTCAAATAGATATTTGTATTAATCAGGGCTTATAAGAACTTGCAAGGCTGAGGCATGGCTCCTCAAAAGACCACACAGTTCTGAATCAGATTTAATGCGCAGAAATTTACATGGATGACCTACAGTGGCTGCCCACAGAGTCAAATGTAGAAGAATGCAAAAGGTCTGTCCACTCGCTAGAGATCTGAAGGCTCCAGTGGAAGTGCTGGAGCCCATGGCAGTGTCCCCTGTGAGTCTCCATCAGGAGGCGGAAGCATCTGTGACAGAAAACCCAGCAGGGCAGGTCCCAAGGCTGGTGCTGGAAGCTGAAGAATTTGTGCTAAAAGCCAGGAGACTATGCCCAAGGGGCAGAGGAAGACTGGGGCCCCTCAGAAGAGAACCGCCTGAGTGAGGAAAATCGGCCCAATGAAGCTCTTCTAGGGAAAATGCGCTGAAGTCCTTCCCTCCAGTTTTCCTCTTGATAGAGACAACGAGCCTCCCTACACTGGTCTTCCGTGCGCAGAACGGCTTGCACAACTCAGCTGGGTGTCCACTCAAATTGACAGTTAACCACCAATTGCGTTAACAACGTTTTTTAGAAGACTATGCTTTCTCTAAATATCTTGGGATCTCTGTCAAAATAGTGGTCCATATACTTGTGCTTCTAGACCGTATTCCATTTGACCTACTTGCCCATTTTTATGCAAGTTTCACACTGTTTTCTCACAGCTCTGTTGTAAGTCTGGAAATCAAGGGTATGTTAGCTTTCCAGCTTGTGATTTTTTTTTTGTAGTTGTTTGGGTTCTTCAAAGTCCTTTGCAGTTTTCATATGGATTAACTTTTTATTTTGTACACATATATGTACATTCACGTAGTCTACTGAGAGTTTCAAAATTTAATTGATTCTACAAATCAATTTAGAGAGAATTATTATCTTAATAATATTAAATCTTCCAACCTATGAAACAAGATTATACCTTATTGTTTTAAATATTTGAGTTTTTTTTTTTTTTTTTGTAGCCATATTTTCAAAGCTTTCTGGACATAGATTTTTTTTTTTTTCTTTCCTTTCTTTGAGACAGGGTCTTGCCATGTAGCCAGGGCTGGCTTTGAACTCTAAACCTGTCTCAGCCTCCCAAGTGCTGATACTACAGACCTGTATATAGATGCTGTATGCTGTGTGTATGAAATTGCTGAGTGTTTAATACTTTTGATGTATTATAGAATTTTCCACAGTCTGATATTTTAATTTAATTTCACTAAGTTGTTTCTTAGTGGTAGAAGTGGAACTGACATATATATTGGGCTAGTGTTTATCAACTGTGTTAAACTCATTTATTATAGTTGATTTTGTAGAAGTTGTTAGGATGTATCTAAAATATTTGGCCAAAAGTGTATAAAGCCATAAGACACTTGTATCAAACCTACCTCTTTTTCATACAAACATCTGTTTGATCTAGATTACTCCTACTATGAACGTGTAGCTTTTCTGGGTCTCTATTGATACTATTCAGCAAAATTGCTTCATTCTGCATGGTGGAAATTCTAACATCTGTCGCCTTCAGAAGAGCTTTGGTAGAATATAGTTAATGGTTTTGAGACTCACTGTATGTAGGTGCAGCTTAGAGTTGGATCTTGAGAAACCCTTATAGACATCTCTGAGTAACTTCCTCCATCTCTCTATCTGTTCCCTAAATCCCGATCTCTGTTCAATGTGGTCATTTTGCTTTGTTTGGAATTTCCCTTTCTCTCCCCCTAAGAACGCAATTACCTGGTTTCCCTTTGCTCAGTCCTTGCTACCTCTTGTCCAATGTCTAAGAGTGATTGTTCAGTGGATTTTGTAGTATAACAGCTATGTGCGGTGGCTGGTCTTCTCCAGTCAGAGGTACCGTGTTGTAGCTGCCTTTTGTTTCTGAATCCATTGTACTTTTTTTATCTCCATAGTTCAGTTGAGTACCAGTGATCATTGTAAGTTCACTGGAAGAATCCATAAATTCTAAGCCAGTAATGACTTGTGACATGATCTTGAAAATATTAATTTTATGAGAATAGCTTTAAAATTAACTTCAAATGAATGCTGTGGTACTGATGTCTTATTAGGTTAGTAAACAAAGCATAATTATCCAGGTCTTATTGTGACATACCTGTCTTCTTTTACCAAGTATACTAATTTGTACTAGTTACTGGATATTTTTGATTTGGAGATTTTATGCTACATTTCTTTTTTGCTCCTTTGGAGGTAGAGACATTATTTTTATAGATAGCTATTATTTGGATTGGACTAATATCATGTAGATATAGCTGGTATGCTTCACTACACACACTCACATATCACAAGCTCAGCTTTTATTATAACAACTTGCTCTATAGGCTTTCTTTCTGGCAATTCAAATATGAGATGAATGATGGTGTAGGTGACTTTTAAATGCCCTTCAACCTTGCGATTCTATTATTCTTTAGTAAATTGAATTTCAGCAAGAATGTCTTGAGTGCCATCCTAATAGTATGTGTTATCTAGAAGAGAAACTATCTTTGCCTTTGAGGAACTCAGAATTTCACTGGTGAGATAATGTCTTTAAATATTTAAAAAATTATGTATGATTAATTGCAAAATGAACAGCACATGCCCTCAATGCCTGAGATATCAAGTCAAAAAGAGAGAGCTTGCAGAAGCAGCCTGAGCGGGGGCACGTCACCTTATGCGCGGGGCTGCAGCGAGAGAATCGCGGAGGCAGGACCAAGCGCTGCACGTCTGCAGGGGCGTCAGGACCGAGAGCAGCCCAGCAGAAGACAGTTGCCTGCTCCCGCCCTGAAAACGCCTGGCGAAGCTGTGAGCAACTGCAATTCAGTCGCCAGTGTCTCCTTTGCAACTGCCAGTGTGGTGGCAGCATTGGCCCTCGAGATTTAAGTCTCTGATTTGCATGGCTAAGGGGCCACTTTCTGTTAAGGGTGCAGTAGAGTAAAATGTTTGATGGAAAAATCTTCACCCATGTACTGACACACATTTCTTTGAGAAACTATGAACAAACTGCCGCATGAGCTTTGATTTGGCATTTGGTAGATGCTGAAGAAATTCTTTGGAGTTCTGGAGCTCTTCACTGTCTAGGTCTAACAGAGTGTAGTCTTTTTTTTTTTTGGATGGAACTGGGGATTGAACTCAGGCCCTTGCGCTTGCCAGGTAAGCGCTTATTCCACTGAGCCATCTCCCCGGCCCCAGAGTGTAGTCTTTTGTTTGTATTTAGCTTATAGGAGTCAAGGCTACATTAAAGTTAAGTTGACCTTTCTATGTTGATACTGAAATCTGGACACACTGTTCCTTGATTTCTTTTAATTTTATGAGTGTGTTAGAACAGTAGTTCACAATATGCCAATTACATTTTGTTTAATATTGTTCAAATATGTGTGTGTGTGTGTGTTAGAAAAAAGATATTGTAAAATCATAAAAGCAGTAATATTTCTTTACATTGACTGTGGCCTAAACAAATTCTGGACTGTTTCTGAGATTGAGTTCATTATTGAACATGAAATGTGCATAAAGACTCATCTGTTAAGTGTGAGAATCCCACATACTAAATTTGTGTGTCATAGTTTTGTTTTTAAGATGATGGGACTATAATACTGTATCATTTTATTTGAAAAAGTACCAAACAGGATGAAAACATGACTAACAGATACGACAAGCTTAATGTATTAGTCTTTATTCAGATTTTCTAAAAGCACTGTTTAAAATTTTTTTAAAAGCACTGTTTATGTGGGCCGGGGATATAGCTGAGCAGCACAAGTGCCTGCCTGGCAG